GTAGCTAAAGAATGGTTAATATTGGTATATAGAGTAGCTAAAGGACAGTTAATACTGGGGTATGGAGTAGCTAAAGGATGGTTAATACTGGGGTATAGAGTAGCTAAAGGGTGGTTAGTACTGAGGTATAGAGTAGCTAAATGATGGTTTGTACTGGGGTATAGAGTAGCTAAAGGATGGTTAATACTTGGGTATAGAGTAGCTAAAGGATGGTTAATACTGAAGTATAAAGTAGCTAAAGAATGGTTAATATTGGGATATAGAGTAGCTAAAGGACAGTTAATATTGGGGTATAGAGTAGCTAAAGGACGGTTAATACTGGACTATACAGTAACTAAAGGATAGTTAATACTGGATGTGTTAAACTGTCCAGTGAAGTATTGATAATATTAACGGATACTTTATACCATTCCTCGCAAGCCTGTACTGCTAACTCCTACAAATATGAATTTTTAGAGGATACTCAAAATATGAACAAATTGAACAACCAGTTCAGTTCAAGTCCAAATAATTGTTTATATTTAATTATCCATCGTATTGATCTTTTAGATGAGGTAAAAAAAAAATCTAGACCGAAAAACAAATAAACCAATACTTTATCTTAAGTTGAAAAAGAACAAGAGGAAATCCTCAATAGCCGCGGCACTTGAAATTGTCTTGGGCAGGATTAGAGTAAATTAATATATGAGACCTTGGGCATGGTCAAATACGTCAATCGAAAGGGTTTGACCGTCTGACTCCTAAACTGTAATTAGATCTCAAATCGGTCAAGAGATGACAGAGCTATGAGCTAAAAGTTAATACTTGAAAAAAAAAAACAAACTCGGAGCCATTCTATGAGGCGCGGCCAAAAATAACAGAGGTTGAAGTTTCGTAAGGAACCGTGAAAAACTTTGATGTTTCCAATCTCCGTAACAAGACACTGGCTGAAGGTACTGTTTTTCTGGTAAATAAGCCAACTGAAGCACTCACTGTTAGCCTTACATACCGTTCTATAAATAACTACTCGACCAGTGCTACTCAACGGAGGCTGTAATAAAGATAGCATTACAATAAATAAATATCAGAAATTAAAGCATCGCTTTGAAAATATTTTTATATTAAAAAACACAAAAATAGCCTCTGATAACTGGGTGCTTGTGTTCAGCGCTTCGTGGTCGCCATCTTGTAACGGTTTATCTCAATTCCTCAGAGGTGTGTTTACTCTCACAAGCTGTAGCTACGTGGTTTGTGTAAGGTGTTCAGTGACGTTTGTCATCTGTTAAAAAAGTATAGGCTCGAGAATAGTTATGGATGTAGATACCGAGCTATGAATCTAGTTCGCACTCATTACATCTTAGATATTGAAGTTGTTTGTAAGAAGTATTACTAATAAGTACAGCATAAGATTTCTGATATGTGTATGATCTTACATAATAGTAACATTTGTACCCATAATTATCTATTACTTTTAGCTTTGATAATTATTGAAGATCCATGAAACGCGCCATACATAAAGTAAATTCGAGAAAAATATAATAGATGACCAATCAAAATTCGTCATAAAAATAACGAATTAATAATAATGATATGTACCTTCAGAACTTCGATATTTTTATGAGCACCATATGTCACTTCAGTGTTAGAAATCTGTATTTCTAATATTACAAACATAAATTTGTAAACGCATTTTTTTCTCCTTTATTTTAATTATATTTTCTAAAATTATATTGCTTTAATGGGCTTTAAGCCTAAAGTGTCTGATATCGTCATCAATAGAATTTCGAAATATTTCTCATGTCCAAATATTTCTTATCTATCCACATTTAGTTTTAGAAACGAAATCTTAGAAATTAATTCGACAATGTGCATAATTTCCTTTGACATTTTATATAGCTTATAAAGAATGCTACTCATAGGTCGTAATTACTATAATATAAAATCAGATTTCTGAAGAAATTCATATTCCTTTTATTAGTTATTCTCGTAACGACTGCTATATAATCACCACGTATCTCAAAATCTGTTTTCCGATATATCCATTTATGTATCATATAAAACTCACCTTTGCTGGGTCAAAGTTATCGAAGATTGTCGGTGAATTTTTAAATAGTTAAAAGGCTTCAGAGTTTATTAAGTTTTACATACAGCGCACCTAGTGGTACATTATGTTTTCTAGCCATTTTTATCGTGATAACTATAGGTATTAGATGCGTTTTTAAACTAAAAACACTCAACGATTATAACTTAGGAATTTTTGATACATAAGGCATTAAATCTTAATGCAAAGTTTACAGAGATCAGTCCATTTCTACACATGGATCAAAGAAGATATTAAAAATGTAGAAACTTACAAGCTATATCAAATCCTTATTGATTCAAAGGATTATTTTGAAATTTGTTTTATTGAATTTCGCGCAAAGCTACTCGAGGACTACCTGTCCTAATTTAGTAATGATAGATTAGAGGGAGAACAGCTAGTCAATACCACCCACCGCCAACCCTTGGACCACTCTTTTGCCAACGCATAATGGGATTGACAATAATGTTACAACGCCCCCACGGCTGAAAGAGCGAGCAAGAAAGGGTAATTTTCAATATCAAACCTTGTGTGAGAGGGTTCTTTAAGTTGCTTTCCAGAATAAAAAAGGCCTAAATGAATCTTTAGTACATCAGTACAGGTTTAGCATGATCTAATGGTTAGGGCTCTCGACTGGCAATCTGCGAATCGTAGAATAGAAACCCGGTGCCGAACATGATCGTCTTTCAGCGTTATAATGTGACAGTCATTTGCACTATTTGTTGGTTAAGAGTAGTTGGTAGTGGCTGCTGCCGGTTGATTGCCTTCCTTGCGGTCTGCAGTTCAAAATTAATGATGGTAACAGATAACCTTAGGAGTATGGCCACAAACAAATAAATAAATCAATAAACGTTTACATACTTTAAGATGAAATTATCTCATGAAAAAAACAATTTTGATATTAAAGAGAATTATTTAAAAAGGAATTGGGTATTATTATTTCAACAAATAAAACTAATAAAGTTTTGTTTGTTTGTAATTAAGCACAAAGCTACACAATGGGCTATCTGTACTCTGCCCACCACGGGTATCTAAACCCGAATTCTGGAGTTGTAAGTCCGCAGACATACTGCTGTGCCACTGGGGGCGCTAATAAAATAAAGAAACGAGCAGTTAAAGAATGGAAGAAGTGTGCAGATCTAATACGGATAAAACCCAAAGGTTTACAATTAAGTACTTTGAGCCCCCAGTGGTACAGCGGTATGTCTGCGGACTTACAACGCCAGAAATCAAATTTTGATACCCGTGGTGGGCAGAGCACAGATAGCCCATTGTGTAGCTTTGTGCTTAACTTCAAACAACAACAACATTAAGTACTTTGAAGGTAGTAAAAAAAATCTGAAAATCTTTAAAAATTGATGGATCGTAACGTTTACGCTGACGTTAAGCTTGTGTAACAAAATTAAATTAGCAAAGTAAAAAATACAATACATTTTCTAGCTGCTAAGCGACATTATTTCATTTTAGCGCAAAACTACACAATAGGCTACCTGCGCTCTATCCACTTAGGATTCGCACCCCGGATTTTAGCGTTTTAAGTCCAGAAACTTACCACTTACTCGCTGAGAAACCTCGGCGCTAAAGAAGTTTTATATAGTTAACACATAAAATTAGAAGCATAATAAAACAGTATTATCTTTATTCCTTTGTCTAAGAAATTGTTAAGGTAAAGCCTTACAGCTTGAGAAGTTTCTATAAAATTTACATATCCCTATTATTAGCAGGGTAAAACATTTCTAAATAGGCGAAAAATATGCAACTCCGTATGAAAACTGTTACAGGAAATTCATATTATTATTATTATAAAACAGTATTTAGAAAAATCAATTTTCGATTACCTTATAGAGATGTTAATATCAGCACTTTCTAGACAAACTGGAAGTGGAGAAATTATATCAAATAAACCACAAATCGTAAACTATTTCGTAAATCATTAATTTTATCCTTGGCAAAAAATTGTTTGTTTGTAATAAATGCAAAGCTACATAATGGGCTATCTGTGCTTTGTCTACCACGAGTATCGAAATCCGATTTCTCGCGTTGTCCGCAGACATCTATCTCACTGGGGGAGGGGGCTTGGCAAAAATACTGTTTGTTTGTTTTGAATTTTGCGCAAAGCTACACGAGGGCTATCTGCACTATCAGTTCCTAGTGAGAGACTAGAGGGAAGGCAGCTAGTCATTACCACCCACCGCCAACTTTTGGGCTACCCTTTTACCAACGAATAGTGGGATTGACCGTCACATTATAACGCCCCACGGCTGAACGGGCAAGCATGTTTGGTGGGACGGGGATTCGAAACCATGTCAAGCGCCCTAATCACATGGCCATGCCGGCCCCAAAAATACTGAGTTACAAAGTTCACATTAGATTACCCTACTCCTAGTAAATCAAGAATCTCAAAAACACGATAAAGTATGCTAAGTAAAAATGTATTTTTATCGACCTCCAGAGGTTTTAATAACAGATCTGAAATAAATTTATTATGATGAAATATACCAGTACTGATAAAGATACACTTAGAATTATAGATATTCTTGATGTTGTTTGTTTTTAGCGCAAAGCTACACCATAGACGACTTGCGTTCTGTCCACAGCAAGAAATGAAACGATAAATTTTGTCGTTTAAGTCTGTAAACGTACCGTTGACCCACCGGGGGCAGATTTATAACTTTGCAATAGTGATATTAACCACTTATTTTGCTCTCATAAAAAAGCGTTATGACAAAATATCAGTTTACCTGATGCCGCTTCTATTTGTACATTACAAATTAAACTGACCTTTAATATATATTTATATGTTCAATAAATGTGTAAAATGTAAAATGTTTTAGTCATTAATATATAACTGCTGTTCCTAATATCGTCTTTGACTTTTCTTATAATGTTTTATCGTATATAACTCGACAGTTTGAATTCTCCGTGTAAGATAAGATCAAACAAATTTCAGAAAACATTTATTTGGCCATTCTAAGTACAAACGCATCCTACAGCCACAAGCTAGATAATTAAACACTTAATTCCTATTACATAATATAAACCATAAATCACCGGGAAGATCAAGAAGTGAACGATATAGAATACTACGAGAAAAAAATAACACTGGTATTTAGCAAAATTATCTCTTCACTTACAGAGAAAACAAAGATTGGGTTACTACTTTCTACCAAAATACGTATAAAGTTTCGTTTAAACCATTTTTCGGTAATAGATCTATAATATTCTCAAAACTGAAAATGATCTAAACGAAAGGATTCAACCAGCAGTTCTTGGAAGCAGGGGTTGATCTGAAGATGTCATCGTTAGCATTGACACCTAGAAGAGAGTCTCCACTAGCGTCACACTGCTTCAAGTATCCAGATAATCTTGTCCACTGTCCGGAGCAGGGTTTCTTGCAGCGAAAGATTTCATCATTACAGTTTACCCCGAACACTTCCCAGCTGCCAGAGCCACTGATGTGTTTTAGTTTACCTGGGATGTTCTCCCAGACACCACTGCCGTCCACGGGTCGACGAAATATTTCGTCATTGCGATTAACTCCATATACCAGATCTCGTCCACCGTCTACTTGTTTTAGAGCTCCGTCCACCAACTCCCATTCTCCATTACAAGGCTTAGGACATTTGAAGATTTGGTCCTTTGAGTTAACACCCCAGATGTAACCGTAGCCAGAAGCACTGACGTATTTGAGTCCACCTTTGATTTGTATCCAACTCCCAGTACCATCCACTGGCCGCTTGTATATATTGTCGTTGGCGTTCACTCCCCAGACCTCGTTGTCATCAGCGTCAACTTGTTTTAAGCCTCCCTCCACTTTTACCCAGTTGCTACCGTCACACGGACGCGTACATTTGAAGATATTGTGCTCATTGTTAACGCCCCATACAAACCTTGGTGTAACTGTAAGGTGTAAGAGCTTGCCATTAATTTTTTGCCATTCTGCCAAAACTGGAGACACGACAAGCAAGGTCAGCAACAGCTTAACTAAACTGAAAAATATTCCGTTCCTCATCATGGCGTCTCAAAAGCTTAACATGCCTTCTTTGAGGCATTCAGGCTCCTTATATTGCAAGACCAATTCCGCTATCACATGTGATGAGCAGTATAATTCCCATAAAAAACAGGAAGTCATAATTTCCGCAACGATTCTATAAAAATCATTTCTATTTTGAAGCCAGTTAGCTAACTACTAGAGCAGTGCAGTATCTGTACTTCCTTTTTTCATTAGCTATTTTCGTGCCAGTGCTTTGCTAGATCATACATTCTGTTCTAGTAGCGTCAATAAAGATTATGTTAAGTATCACATAAACTGAATTGAGTCGTACAAGACTGTTGTGCGGATTATCCAAGATATAAATTATGATATATTCAAACTAGCTATATATCTTTATATTCCATCAAAACGTATTAGTCTGATACGACAACTAGCAGGTGTGTAGCTTCTTTGTATAGCAGGTAGTTAATCAGCCTTTAAATTCTAAATAGTAATTTCTGGGCTACTTTATCCTTCTGTTCTATGTTTCACAAATACTAAATAAACTAAATTATATTTAAGCTAGATATAAATACATAAATCAAGTTTAATAACTTTCACACGAGTAAAGTTTATTTGTTTCTTTGTTGCTAAGCGCAAATCTACACAATGGCTATCAGTGTTGTGCCCAGCAAGGGTATCGAAACCCCGTTTACAGCGTTATAGGCCTACAAACTTAACACTGAGCCACTTTATGCGGTACATGGTTAAATGACTAGGCAAAAGATTCCAATGCCAGTTATATTTTTCCCCGATTTAGAACTTTTGACCAGAATAAAGGCAACCAGTCGGCATTGCCCACCGCCTACATAGCTATTCTTAACCGAATAGCGCTGTCATTTTTATATTGCGCTCACAGCTGAAGTGTATTCAGTGACATTTCTTTGGCTCTAACGTTGAACTATCCAATTCACATCTTGGTAGGATAAGTATTAGTTCATGCCCGACCCAAAATTACTTTAAAATCGAGGATTTAATTGTTTCAAGCAAGGCAACAAGTTTTCGGGTAACGTAACTGTTTGACTGGCCGTTCTTCGTGCAATTTAGTGTTAAGTTTGTTTGTTTTTTTCACTGAACATTATAGATAAATATAAAGTTTTTGTGTCTTAACCGTTATTTTAAGAAGATTGGTTAGTGCACTTTCTTGGGATTGGTTATATTATAGATTTAACCAAATATCAGATTAGTTGTTTATTCAAATCAAGAAAATACTGTGGTTTGGTTCCCACCAGAACAAATAAAACTTCTTGGTACGATCAAACCTGAAATTCGTTCATAATTATATCCGTAACGGATTTAAGATCACAATATATAGTTTAACTTTGTGTGTTAATCGCACGCAGACTCAAATAAATCAACTTAAATATTTGGGCATAAAAGTTGTTGATATCGAAAAAACAAAGTTTCCGACTGAATAATAACATGTGGTGACATCTAGTGACAAAAATGTGAAAAACTAAGAAATTTGTTTCTTAGCATTACCTTATTTTCATTACGTAACAAATTTAGTTAAAAAGTAATATGCTAAATTTATATGACAAATACGTTTTACGTGAAGCGGATATGTTGAATAATGCTACGTTTCTTGTGTTTGATGAATAACCCGAAGCGATTTACTAATATACCTTGATTAAAAAATCTGAACAGAATAGAAATATTTCGGAAAACATTACACATCTAAGAACGGGAAAGAACCTATTGCGTTTGAGAACGCGTGACATTCTAAGAAAATAGCGTTTTTTTATCAACACACTTCTGTTTTGCAAGTACTTGTTACAAGTGGAAATTGTGTCTACACTGCTGATAATAACTCCATTTTTTTGTATATTACACATTTCATATGTTTGTTGTTAAGCGCAAAGCTAAACACAAACCCGATTTCTAGAATTAAAAGCCCAGAGACTTACCACTGAGGGGGGGGGGGCATATGTAAATTATATTTCTAGAACCCGAAATCACAAATTATATCTACTAATTCTACAAAAACCCTATATACACGTATATGTATATAAGTTTTCTAGAGCCCTGTATATGCCATCAACAAATCAAATCTATACAGCATAAAGATTGTCATCAGTTGTTTGTTTGTTTTTCGAATAGGGTGCTACTCAGTTTAAGGGACGTTTGCTATTGCAGCATTTTCGATGTCTAAACTGTCTATATTTCTATCTACTCGTTAATATGAATTTTGCTTATCACTGGGTATCAAATACTTAAACATTGGCTGGTTGTTGAAAATATTTACAAACCTTTTACCAGAAATTTGTATTAATAGCATACAACTGATTTACCACACTCGTGCCATTACAATAATGAAAATGTAATGCAATACATTTAGTTGATAATCTGGTTAGAAGAGACTACAGCAACAACACTGAGACACATACTAGTGGGATGGCTATCAAATGGATATGACATAGACCTAGGTACTTTTATATAATTTTGTTGTCTTTGAACATAAAACTGTTATCTACGCTTTCAACAGTTCTCGCTGTTTTTATACCCCTGCATACGTGTGTATGTGTATGTTTGTTTGTAGTTAAGACCAGAACTACGCAATGGGTTATCTGTTTTGTGAAAACCATGGGTATCGAAATCCGATTTTTAGCGATTTTATGTCCGCAGACGTGCCGCTGACCCACTAAGGGAGGGACACAGTGGAGGAACCCACTGAACCATGGAGGGGGGGGGGATCACATAAGGAATAAGTTCAAGAGCATGTTTTTAATCTCTTAGTTATATCAAGAGAGATAACAAAGTATATCACGTTTTGTTACTTAATAAAACTCTTTCTTATACTCTGTTTGGTAATTGTAAGACTTTTGGTTGTAGTTTATTTTTAAATCGTTCATACGCATAAAATTAATTTATATATTTTTATTAATAGTTCACCTCTGATAAGAAAAGCTTATTTTTCGAAAGGAATGTTTGAAAAAAGTTTAATACATACGTATAACGCTAAAACATCGAGCTTAATACTCGCGATGGGCATAGCACAAATAGCTCATTGTATAGCTTGGTACTAAATTACTAACAATTCTTCATTGGAGCTGTATGAAAAGCACTAGAAGCGACGAGATAGCACTATTTCTTTATGGAATAAAGAAGAAATATATACAAATAGTATCAACATTTATTTCATATTGTTATAGTCCATGCTTAGAAGTTATGCAAGGATGTTCTGTTTGTTTTTAAGTGCAAAGATACACGATGGGATATTTGCGCTGTGCTCACTGCAGGTATCGAATCCCGATTGTTAGCGTTATAAGCCTCAACCTTTCCATTGAATGCTAAAAGTATTTCGAAGCACTGTTTTTGTTGTTGTTGTTTTTTTTGTAAGTATTTAATAATTCTGAGAACTTTCGCCTACTCCAAACGGGTATTTCCAGATCGTGATTTCCACGTGTAATAACGTTTTGACACTTCAAGCCTCTGGTATTGATTGGTTTGATTATAGCATATAAAAG